ACTTCCTTTATAAAATGCAATTTCAACTGAAAATTGAATTCAAACTCATTAAATATTATCTTTATTCTTCACTAGAATATTAAAATAATGAAGTAAATTAATAATATTGGAAAATAAATGTTCTATTTTTTATTTTGTTTTATCATTTTTTAAGAACACATTCATAAAAACAAATTTCGCGGTTAATTTAATCTTTGATAAAAATGTTATAATAAAAATGTTATGGAATGTTCAACAATAAGACATATAGGAATGAGGTGTGTCGTAATTTAGATAGGATTATCTTCATCCTTATAATTCAACCTTTATTTGGTATTCGTTTCTTATTTGGATTGTTCCATCACACTGGACAGGTTTGGGTGGGGTGGGGGTCGGGGAGGGGTGGAAGGGGAAAAATAAACTATAAACTAATAAAGAATAAATGTGTACATCCATTATTTTTTGGGAAAATCGGTTAAAACCACGCAAAAATATTTTGTATAGATAACAATTTGCTTGAATATTTGAATTTGCTAAAAGTCCATTGGATAGCTTAGTTAGACAACTTATACTGAAAATAGATTGAAAGTGGACAACCTACACTAGTAGAAAATTTGCTTATTACTACGAAATTTTTTGCTGTGGTAACTATCCGTAATAAAAGGTACTTTTTACCACGGAACAATTTTGAAGTCGTAGTAAATACTAGGATTTACCGTAGCAAAAAAATATTTGGTACGACCATTTACCGTAGCAAAGCTTTTGTCACGCCCGTATATGCTACGGGGCAAATTCGTAGCAAATGCATAGCAAAAGCCTTTTTAGTACGAATTTGACACCTTTTGTTACGGTTAATAATCGTAGTAAAAATACATTTTTCTACTAGTGCTAGATGGAGAGCTTAGTCTGAAACAGACAACCTGAACTTAAAACGAACATGTTAGTTAGAGAACTTGGACTAAATGCAAACATCTTAGACCGAATCGAGGACTGAGATCTAGACCGCTGAGAATATCATTTTTCAGTGACGTGGTTGGTGAAAATTAGGTGGTTAACGGCAAGGGACGGGTAGGGAGAGGCCGTGGAGTGGTAAACGCCATTTTTTGAACTGATGTGTTTATTAGGCTGAACCGGGTTATGAAGAATAGGGTATTTTCAGCCTACAATGTCTATTTTCAGTCTAAACTCTCTAACTAAGCTGCCTGATGGACTTTTAGCAAAATAGAAATATATGATTGTCATGATATAAAATGAAATTAGACTTGAAGGGTGTTTATAAATACTTGTAAACGGTGAATAGTAGTTTACCTCTATACTTTTTCGATTTGCACTTTGCCATCTGAATAAAAACAATTGCACGATACAACTTGAACTCATTTTTTTGTGCCACGTCGTCATATCTGCATATTTTCAACAGGCCAAAGTCAGGGAAGACGACAGATAGGAGCTGTTGTCGAGTCTTTGCCGCTGCCGCGAGATCTGAGAACAAAGTAAGGGAATATTTATTTTTTACTTTTTTATTTGTTTCGAATTTTGTGTGTTTGTTGTTTGATCAATTGTTTCGAGTCCTTCTCCGGCCCCATGTTCTGAGGTTAAATATCTTTCTCCATATTGTCTCCTCTCGATCTCAGTCTGTTTCTAGTTTTTCTTGTGTCCCATTCAGTTGCAACAAAAAAGTCCGAATCGAAGCAAGATGGGCAAACAGCAAGCCAATTGGCGAAAATCGATATTGTCCCTATCCAAGCATATGTAGTCATAGTCAGTCATACATAGTCATGTATAGTCATATATAAGAAATGTAATGTTTTAAAAAGGTACAGTGATGCTGATGGTTGTTTTAGTTGAAGAATTTACACGGGTGATTTTTTGGATATATTGTGGGAATGCAAGTTGACTTGTAATACCAAGTTCAAATTATGATTTTTTTTTTTTAATTTTTTTTTTGAATGTTGATTGAATTTTTTCATAAATAATAGTCTTTATTTTTTATATAATTTGTTAAATATGACTGAGCTACACTATATAATCGAAAATATACAATTTTAAGTTGAAATGTAAAAAAAAAAAAAAAAAAAAAAAAACGGTAATATAAAGCAAGAATATGACTATAGTCGACTATAGTCATATATAATGTCATATTTGAAATAGTAAATTTTTCGAGAGAAAGAAAACCAGAAAAAAAAAATTAAATTTATATTTGATTTTTTAAATAAAAAATATTGAAAAAATAAAAAATAATAAATAAAAAAATGCTAAATGCAGTTGGTGGAAATGTTGAATGCAATCGAGGCAAAAATTGCATGTAAGGGCATCATAGTCTTTTTGCCTCTTCAGGGAGTATCTCAAAGAAAGAATTTTAGGGGTCAACCAATCCCTATATATTTTTCCATATTAGGGGTGTATATCAAATGACCCCTAAATAAAATCCAATCAGAATTTTCTTGAAAAATCTTTTGTTGTCGGAGAATTATTGATACCACTCACAATAAGCAATAGTTCCTGGAATTGCAAAAATCGTTAGCGTTTTTAGCTAATAGAACCAAAGTGTTCGAAGATATCCGACGTCAAATTTAGCGCATGATTATGTTTAAAGGTCAGTTCTAGTGCCCTTTTGAAGCTTGACCCAAAAAGAAGAAGAAAAATCTTGAAAAATTGAGCACAAAAGAAGAAGACGAAAGATTGAAAAACGAGAGGAAATGCATTATGCGAAAGTTGGGGAAACATAAAAGAAAATGCAGGCTTGTGATTTCAAAAAGACACAAAATCCCTTTCAACTCGCATGAGCAAAGGGCATGGGTTTAATCCTGGCCATTTTGACTCGTAAATGAGTCAAATATTCACATGATACAATTTTTTGAGTTTAGATCCGATTGAGAATTTGTTTTATTAAGATGGTAACCTACAAAAACTAAAATAATTTAGACGGTGTAATGTTATTTAACCAATTATAAAAGTAATTATCATAGCAATATAATATGGAAAAAGAAAAGTTACATAGCAGTGTATGACACATCATCTAGGCCCATAATGATTTCAATATGAAAGAGAGATCTATGGTCAGCACTTAGAATTGGGGTGATGGTATTAGTGTCATCACATGTCACAATAAATCCAAGATTTAACAAAATAACAAATAGTTCAGCAAAAAAAAAAAAAAAATTGCGTTAGTATTATACTTATGGTGAAATTTTTTATACCTATAAAGATCAAATTCCTTGTGAATATGTCCATATAAAAATATTTTTTTATCTAAAAGTTCAGACATAAACATATTTTACTTAAAATACCATCAATAACAAAAATATCCTCAAACTTTAATATTACTTCAATTTCATCTGTCAAAGTCCTAATTTAACCCTGATTTTTTACTGATTTACTAATTTAGGATGTCAGTCCGATGCCGCAGCCGTCGCCGCATGCCACTTTCCAATATACTACTAGCGGTCAATATAATATAAGTTGTGATCGACATAGTATAGTACATACGTTCAACATATTTGTTGGATGACACTTTTCCATTTCCTTCAACAAGATACGCTAAAACCATTCATGACTGTATGTCCTTTCGTGCTCCAATTATGCAAAGGCGATGGAGAACGTCTAATTCATAGAAATTGTTGGAAAATCGCATGCTACCGTATGCATCGAAACTTTGATTTTTTTTTTCAATTATGAATTCTATAGAGAATATATATCTGTCATGTTGAACGTAAGCATATAAATATGTTTAATGTTTCAATAAAATCTAATCGCATGTAATTGGACGATATTAAAAAAAAAAAGATTCGTGTTGCTTTTCTTCTTCAATTCTATTGTCACATCGAAGCCCTTGCTGGATCAATTTCATGCCTTCTTCAATGTTGGAATCGGGCTTCACCTTGTCGAGGTTTTGCCACTGAGAATTAGCACTTGATAGGCCTCGGTTAGATATGGTGAATTCGGATTTTTAACAGATTATTAGGGAATCTGTCAAAAACCCGGGAATTAAAAAGAAAGAGCAGGGACGACACTCTAAAAGGGGGATGCATGAATTTTATTTCCCTTAGAATTGTGTTTCTCTCCCTCTTAAGTTATATATTTATAGGGCGGAATTCTTTTGCAACCCTAGAATAGTAGAATCCCAAGTCCGTCATGATTTAAAGAACATTTCTTCAATCCCTCGTTTTTTCAACTATTAAATTGAATAAAGAATGTAACGATTAAATATTCATGACGAGGGAAACGTCCTCGTTGACTTAAGTACCATATTGCATTTTTTCCATTTTGGGAAAATGGAAACGCCCAAATCAGGACCTGCCAAATGGTAAACCCAATTTGAAAAATCTAGTCCATAACTTTGGAAATGTTATTTTCTCCATTTTTTATTTCGTAATCAACTATTACGAACTTCATAGTTGATGATATTAATATTCGAACATGCTAAAGCAACAACTTTGTTCTTAGTTCAGCATAGTAAGGAATCCTCACCACAAGAAGTGTAACCATCAATGGTTCGAGTGTAAGCTAGACGTGGGTTCACAACCATTTGTGATTCGAACAAATCTTTGTTCGTATACGGACTCATCTCATGTGTCCCGATTGAGATTAGAACTTCTTTTTATCTCAATGGCCGATCTTATCGGTTCAAACCCAATGGATCATGATGATGCCTAACAACTACGTGTCATGATCCCCTAGTTAAAAATGAAGTGTCTGCATTCACTACACCAAAAAAGCCCTTTTCTAACGGATATATCAGTTAGTATTATTTTTTGTAATGGCGAAAAACCGTTAGAAATACTGCTTTAGAAATTTAGAGCCAAACATTGCTAACGGATAAAGCCGTTAGAAAAAAAATGAAAATTCGTTAGAAAAAATAAAATTTCTAACGGTTATATCCGATAGAAGTGTAATTGTAACGGTTCTCATTGTAACATTTTTTGCTAAATTTCTAACAGATATTTGTATTAGAAAAACTAAAAATAATAATAAAAAAAATATTAATTCATAATGCAATGAATTCTCCATAATGCAACCCTGTATCAAAAAAAATCTATTTACCATCAACTATTACAATAAAGTCTCCACCGTTAACAAAAGTATCAAAACAATCTCTTGTACCATCAACTAGTACAATAACTTTCCTACACATGAATCAAAAATTAAATAATCCATGTAAACCGGAAAAAAAAAAAGAAAAAAAATGAAAAAGAAAAAAGAGTACATCAATTTCAACGTTTATAAGTATGAATTTATATGTCCAACCTGTTTTTGCTACTTCTTTCAAATATTTTTTGCTCCAATTGTTGCCAGGTGCTTTGGAGATCCTGAGAGCAAAATCACAAAACCAGAACAAGCTGAAAATTTCATTTTATTTATTTTATTATCAATTAATAACATGTTGTATGAGAAAATGCAATTTCATACCATTATGGAGAGGTTGTTCATATATAATAGATAGCTGATTGTATACAATAGTTGGTTTCCCCTGAAAATATTCAATACTACGGAACATGATTTTCAACGAAAAGATTAAGCATTATGTTATAAAATATCTGGAAAAAAAATTACGCACTCGCATAAGCAAAGTAAAACAGATGCAATTATCTATATCTAGATTTGTATTTTTTGATCGTACACCATTCGTTAAGAACATAAACACGGATCACTTAGATGGGTCTTAGAATCTTGAATGATAGTATTCTTATTTTCATCCAATCTCTCTACCGAACTATCAACTTTTTTATACTTTTGGCAAAGTGAGATTTTGATTTTGAATTTAACATCAGGAGAGAACAATAGAGCATGGAAGTAGAGCAGATATTTACATGTCATAACATAAATGATGACCAACCAAGAACACAATAATAAGACTCTATATAGGATATAATGAATTAGTATGTGGCATGAAGATACCTGCTAATCTATGTTGACTTAGCAAGCAAATAAAATAATTAAAATTGCAGCGAGATTTCATGTCATCGCTTGAGTCCCAAAAAACATGTATTATTTGCTAACCTGCTTAAAATATGATAATGTGCTCCTGTCAGGCGGTTCTGTTGTGCCCTCTTGCTGGTGCCGTTGTGTCATTGCAAGGCTCTACTTTGCCCTCCCTCACAAATTATTTATGTTTCCAACACATAAGTACAGAAATTTCAGTCAAAGGTAACTGACATTGAATTCAATAGGAAAAAAGTAAGATTTATTAACATTGCTAAATAATAGGAAGAAGGAGCTAACTAGAAAATATATTTTCATAACTCCCACCTGTATTTCTCGAAGTGTTTGTGCAATATTTACCAACATAAGCTTTCTTGCTTAACAAATTCTCCAACTATACATGGCTACATTACTCATTAATTATATTAACACAAATATAAATAACAATTTACGGTAACGGAGAGAAATAATAATCAAATTATACCAAAAAATTTAATAGCCCATTTATCGAATAGATCACATGGACTCCAAGTTGGGTAAGCTTCAATCAAATACAAGGAAACTAAAGGTTGAAGCTTCCACAACTGTCTAGAAAAAAAAAAAAAAAAAAAAAATTGTTTAGACCCCAAAGCAACTCTATTATCATAGTGTAACAATTTTCATGGAACACTTGCATTAAACCCAAATTCCTAGAATTTTCAAAAAAATCCAAATTCCTTTAACAAGTATTATTCCACCATTAAATTTAATTTGTATAGAAACTACCAACATAACACATATCGGTAATTATAGCATCGCAATGAACATTATATGATTAAGAACCCTAAATAATTTTTATATAATCCCCGATTAATTTTGAAAACAAATCTAATTTAGGGTGTGTACAATAAAAAAACCCGGTTGAAGAATTAAAATGACAAGAGATAAATAGATCTTACTCAAAGCGATTCAGTGTCAGGTGGTGGCGGAGGCGAGAGAAAGAAGTCGGAATTGACTGCTTTTTCGTCGTTAATGGAGCGAGAGTGAGTGAGAGGAGAAGGGAGAGTAGGGAGAGTGGGAGAGAGGCGCTGTGAAGTATAATGGGAAAAAACGGATAAAAAAATATCGTATTATTCTAGTTTTATTATCATGATAAAAGTAATTTAATTTATTTTTAATAATTCAATGTTTTTACACATATTACTAACGGTTTCTAAATGTTAGAAATAATTTTTGAATTATTATAATTTAATAAAGCTAACTTAATATTAATAGTAACGGTTAACTTAAATTTCTAACGAATATTTCCCGTTAGTATTTTCTAACGAATATATCCGTTACAAATTATAAATTTGTATTGATAGAAAATGCTCAATATGGTGTAGTGATTAACCTTCAACTATAGTTAACGTACAATACGGTCCATGCGACAACAAATGTCCCGATCGAACTAGAGGCATTAGCCAATCAAGACCTATAATAATGTTCGATAACCGTGCGAACGTTCTAAATCTATAATAATATTCGATCAAGATAAATTATTTTCTCTAATCACCCCACTTTCTATTTCGCCGAAGATTCTATGGACTATACACTGAAATTACACACATGGCATCCTTGCACTCAGGTAAGCGGTCGAATCCCTAATCATAAAGCATCATACTCCTACTAGATTTCAGATTTCTTAAATTGATGGGACTCATGGACAAGTCACAACACATCTGGTCCTCTAGTAAAGTCACGGTGGCGTATTAGGCCCTAAGGACTAATGATGTTCTACTATAAACATAAAATCTTTACTTAATTAATTGGAACCACTTATAGATTCTAACACGATGGATGCTCAATGAACTCATCTATTATGAGAACCCATTCAAGTATGTTGATCTTGTTGTTATAGTAGGTGACCGAAGAGCCAACTAATTGTTGTGTTTTCTCACGCTACTCATAAATAATCTATTTCGTATTAATGATAGAAAACCCCTTTGGTATTCTATATCTTTGTCCCTTGCATAAGCATAGATGTAGTCCTTACAGTTACTTAATTACTATAAATAGATCTAGTAGAATCGAAAGATTATTTATTTAAGTATACTAAATGTTAAACATAGGTCCTAATCAACGGGTTACACAACTAATGAGGATATCGACCTTTCCGTTCGAGACTAGCACGTAGTATATATGTACTGCGTCTCATCAGTGAACGGTGTTGTGACATCGGCATACATAAGTGTTCTCATAAGTTGATGAGTTCACTGAATTCCCTCAATCTAGAGATCTCTAAGTGATTCCCAATTCGAGTAAAAGTTTATACGATATAGTTGTACACCATTAATCCTTAAGACCCAGACATCACCGTGACTTCACTAGAGGACCAGCAGTATCGTGACCTGTCCCTGAGTTCCACCGAGGACCGCCCCAAGGGCCAGTGTTCGTGCAGTCCGAAATCTAGTGGGAAGTATGTGCATTGTAGTAGGGGATTTGATCACATGATCAGTCATGGATATCCCTTGTGTTCTTACGATTTATAATCCATGAAATCTGTGGCCACAACTGAAAGAGTCGTGATTAGAGAAATGTGTTTCTCTAAGTCAAACACGAACGGATTATATAATAAAAACTTCTACACATTTATTAAACTCATAAGGAGGTTTCGCTGAACTAATGCCTCTAGTTCAATCGAGATATATGTATCGAAGGGATCGTACTGTACGTTAACTATATCACACGGTTCTTGCAGGCACTTCATTTGTATATGTGGAATCATGACGCGTAGTTGCTACACGCCAATCTTGATTTGTTGGGTAGTTAAGTTGAAACTAGCTTCAACTTAATTATAACTCTAGGGACGAGTTTAAACCACAATGGGTTACGGCTAGCTTACACCTGAACCATCGAGAGTCACACTGCTTGTGTACTTAAGATCCTTAATGCAGCGAGCTAAGATTAATTAGTTAATCTTACTGTAATTGGAAGTCAATGTGATTGAGTCCAACATTTGTAATTATTAATTACGAATGAGAATAAGTAGAGGAAAAGAATTCGACGAAAAGTTAGTGAACTTTAAACATTGGGAAGTTTCCCGATTTGACAGGTCCTAGATTAAGGTTTCCAATTTTGGAAATTGGAAAATTGCAAAGTAGTACTTGTATCGACGAGAATTATGTGCTCTTCATCAAAATATAATTGTTATACTTTTTGCGAGTATTCGCTTGTTAGAAACGAGCCGAGAAAGAGAGTGGGCTTAAACTGTTAGGCTTAGCCACTTAAGGTCTGTTAGGGTTTTCACAAGGACCATATAAATAGAATTTATATATCTTATGAAACACACAAGACAAGCATGAACCCTAGCCTCTCTTCCTCCATCAGCAGTCCACCTTGCAGACGAAACCCTGCCGCCACATTGACATCTTCTTTTTCCCCTCATTCTTCTTCGTTTCACTTAGCCTATCACATATCTAGTGATGCGTGGATAATGGATTAAATATACGAGGTGAAACCTAAGAGGAGGAAGATTCTTGTGCCGCCATCAGGTTCGCCTTCACGAGCCTTCACGCGCCGCCACAAGCCGCTGATGTGAGAACGCAATTCTGAAAAACTGCTCTCGCATTTTCTGCGCAGTTCAACGAGAAAATTCGCCATAACTCAAACGGTGATCGGATGGACGTGAAATTTTGACAAAAGCTTCGGACTCATGGATATATAGTACCTCAGAAAGAATTTGCGATCCAGTCAATAACTATGGAGATATTGAAGTCGGAAGAGGCCTGTAATTTCAGATCAGAAAATAGGTTGGGTCAGTAGGAGTGGGAAGAACAGCTTAGCCATCTTCTCGAGTCTTCATTCGATTCACGCTTCAAGGGTAAAATCTCGTTTTCCCTAATTAATAAATATATATTAATTAATTTATATTAATTGAGATTAATGTATGTTAATTGATTATTGAATCACATGAATCTAAATGTGTTCATGTGAATCGTTCGTTGAGCGAGCATGTTTATTATTTGATTTAATTTCGCGAGCATGCTATGATGATTAAATTTACGTTATTTAAATTAATTATATATACGAGCATGTTTGTCGGTGATTGGAAGTGAAAAGGTACACAATTAATTGTAGTTATTGTGCACGTGTATGTTTAAATAAATTAGTTTATATAAATATTTTTTTTTTCTGTTGCGTACACCTGCCCGATTCCCAACAGTGGTATCAGAGCTACGATTGCGCAATTAATTGCCTACATTTTTATTGCTTTCGATTGCATGTGAATAGGTTATTGAATTGATTGAATTGATGAAATTGGAATTGGGTTGGTTTAATTTTAATTTAATTTAAAAATTGGATTTGATCAATTTTGAAATTGGAATTAGAAAATTGGAGTTTGGTTTTAAAATTAGATTTGATCGATTTTAAAATTGGAATTGGAAATTGGATTTGAAATTAAAATTGAATTTTGGTGACCTAGACTTCGTGGTGCTATTCGCAAATTTGTTGCGATGTGACGCGCGCTAATAAGGTAGATTTGTGGAAACTCCGCTGGCTACTCCAACCGCTCCCTATTTATGCGGCTATATGAACATATATTAGCATGAATTTGATAGAAAGGCTAACATGGTCGCGCGGTGGAAAAACGATTTTTGTGATTGTGGATAGATTATCTATGTACGCACATTTTATGGCATTGGCCCATCCATATTTGTTCAAAGACGTCGCCAACGAATTTTTTCGAGGTGTGGTGAATCTTCATGGTACTCCACTTCTATAGTGTCTGATCGTGATAAGGTGTTTATCAGCTTAATTCTAGGGTTATTCCTCCTTCAAGGGACTGCTTTGTGCACAAGCACATCTTATCACCCTGAATCGGATGGTCAAACCGAAGTCTTAAATAAATATCTCCGGTGCTTTGTGAGTTCGCAACCAAAGCTTTGGGAAATTTTTCTCGCATGGGCATAATATTGGTATGATATTAAATTTCACCAGTCAATTGGAATGACACCGTTTGAATGTTTGTATGGACGTAAGCCACCACCATTGGTTCAATATATGTCGGGTTCGACAGCAGTGCATGACGTGGACCAAGAGTTACGACCGCGTGATGATATATTGAAGGAGTTGAAAAACAATCTCGCGTTGCACGCAACCGTATGATACAAATCGCCGACCGCCATCGCCATGAGGAGAAATTTAATGTTCAATATTAGGTTTACCTTAAATTACAACCTTATAGACAACACTCAATTTTCAAACACGTATATCAAAAGCTTTCTAGCCGATTCTATAGGTCGTTCCAGGTTGTGGCTTGAGTGGGTTCAGTCGCATATCATCTTGAGCTTTATGTCTCACTTTCACCACGTGTTCCATGTCTCTTTTCTTTGATGGAAATGGGGGAGCATCTAAGTCAGTCGCTACATTACCACCTTATACGGTCGATGGTGGACCGGTGGTTGAACTAGAGAAGGCGCTCGCTAGACGACTGGTGGTGTGCAATGGAGGTGAGGTCCAAGAGGTTCTAGTGAAATGGCGGTCCTTGCCAGCTGAAGATGCTACGTGGGAAGCTGTGGGAAATATTGCAGGATGCTTTCCATCATTTCCGCTTGATGACAAGGAGGCTTCTGAAGGGCTGACGAATGTTACGGTTCGTAGAAGTTCACGCGCCACCAAAGCCAAATCCACTTTTTGAGGAGTAGAAGAAGCTGATTGGTTTCATTTATGTATTTGTTTCCTTATGTTCTTAGTTAGTGCCTTCTTAGTAGCGTAATAGATTAGAAGTTTTTTCCTTTACAAACTAGGGTTGGGAGCCTATTTAAACCTTTTACGTGTTCTTTCAAGGATATATATAATTATTTTATGAAATTTCTTCCTTACTTGCATAATAATATTGCGATACTTTGAGATTGTATCACAAGCTGAAAGAAGACATTGGTACATACCTCATTGGGCTCTTCTTCCATGTAAACTACCGTATTGCTTTTATTTACTCCATTGTGTAACTTTTGTGATGTTTTGGTTGTTTTGGATTTCGATGTTTTGTGTTGGATTTGTGAAGAAGAGGATCATGATGATGATTTGTGAGTTGTTAAGAAATGAGTGGGTTTGTGGATTTCGTATGTATGCGGTCTTGCACAAAGAAGATTCGTGTGTTTATGTTTGAGGTATTTTGTTTATTTGAGGGTAAAAAATATAATTTTCTTTGAGTGTCTTACGCTAAGGCGAAAAACCCTTTCAAATACGGGGATTTAGATGCTACACCTAAATTTTTTAATGGATTTGAACCGCATATTTGATTAAATATTTACCTACTAAGCACACATATACATGGATATGCGTGATTATGTATAAATCTCCGCTTCAAATTCTCCCAATGTAAATAATCGGGTGTAGCATCTAATTTCCCTTTTCAAATAGACGGCCCTTCAATATAATCTTTATTTTCAAACAATGTAATGACTATATAATTAGTGCAATAAGTAAAATATAATTACATATTGCTTCATATGAATCATGTTGTAATGTAACCATCTAATCGATCAAATAAAAATTCTAAAGAAGACTAGAGAAATAATCTTATATATAAAAGTAATATACGCTAGGACGTCTTCATAATTTTCTTTTTCTTCATATTTTTATATTCTCTTATTTTCATATCAGATAGCCCTTTTTTTCATTTTTTTAATATTAGTACATTTTCCAACTTATTTTCTCTAATGATCAATTCATATTATAAATGAAGTTTATATAATCTTTTGCCAAGTGAGCTAGCATTATCAAATTTATATGAAATATAAATATATTTACTATGGTTTAAATATCACTAATAAGTTTCATTATAATATTATAATATATGTCTTATTATAATTGTTATTTTTGTCACAATACTATAAGTGTAATACTCTCAAGTTTTATTATAATTTTTGTCACTTTTAAAATGTTATCCCATAACAAAATACTAATATAATTAATACTAATCCAAATCATGGAACCAGTTAAACTTAAAATAAAAAAAAATCAACATCATAATAATTCACACATAGCACAAAGTGCATAAGAGAGAAGGCATAAGAAAAGCAGCCTAAAAAGTCCAAACAAACTTTGGTTGTTTATTTCACCTCTTTATTGGCCACGTCTTTTCTTATTCTATCTTTTGTTTTCTTTCCACTACGCGAGTTGGATGTCACGGCCACTCTCCTTTTATTATTAATCTTTCATTCTATCTAATTATCATAATTTCTTTTTAAATTCATGATCAACATATTATATAAATATGTAATTTATTTGTGTATTTCATTTATTAAATTATAACCCGATTTCGTCTCCGCTACAAGTCAATGGTTAAATCTCATGTTATTAATGTATAATAATTTAGGTAAATTATGGTCACTCGAGGTAAGGTCAAAATTACAAAAAGAAACTCTTATGATTGGGTAATTACAATCAACCATTAACTATGAATATTCGTCTAGCTCGTACTCGTTTTGTGCAAAAAATGCAGTTTGTGATGCACTATAATCTGATATTTACAAACCGATAGATACATCTTATGATCATCTTGTTACAAAATGTGGAGTTCGAATAGAATTAAACGGGTACAAACTGACGAATATTCCACATATTCTAGAAGATCTCACTAACACCAAAATAAAAATATTTAAGAAAATTTATTATTGAAGGATAGTTGTAAATACCCACCCAAATATAATTAATTTTTTCATAACTGATATTACCTCAGGAGTGACTGTAATTTAACGAAGATTATTCTCGGGAAAGTAAAAAAATATAATAATAAATAATAAAGTATGTATTCACATCGCATTAACCTTGATAGTTTCTGTTTTTCTTTTTTGTTAAGGGTTTGAAAAAATGTACACACAAACTGAAAAAGTCCTTGGTCAACACACACCCACACAAAAGGCATTATTACTAATAAAATTCTTTCATGGAGCATAATTTTTTTTATTTATTAAAAGTAATAAATTTAATCAAATTTTTGCAATTTATTTGATTTTATGGTGGAGAAAAAAAAAAAGGAAATTGGAAAGAAGAAACATATAGAGAAATAAGTATATAATAAATATATAATATAAATAAATAATATAGAAGTAAGAAAAGCTGAAACATTTACTTCAAACCCAAAAACAATAAGAAAGAAGAAACAAGTCTTGTAGAGAGAAACAGCCTCCTCTCTCTCTCTCTCTCTCTCTCTCTCTCCTTTTCCCATTTTCACCTTTCCTTTCTTCAACCATTATTTTAGATTCCTTCAATGGTTTTTTCACTTGTCTCTATTTGATTATATATTCTATATATTTTATATATATACATATACATATATAGATACAACCCATCTGGTTTTGACCTTCCTTCATTTGGGTGTGGAGAGTATGCTGTTTTAGTGGGCTTCTTTTTCTTTTCTTTTTTTTTTTAATTTTGTTTTGATTTCTTCTTGTTTACAAATTCTTTTTTCTGGGTTTAATTGCTGTGAAAAAAAGCTTTGATACCCAGAAGCATATGCTTTACACAAGTCCAATAAATAAAAAAACAATAAAGTCTGTATCTATTTTCCAATTTGTTTTTTGAGGAGGAAACTGTTTTTTGTTCATCTTTAATAAAAAAAAAAGAAAAAAAAAAAAGAAAAAGTGGTGAATTTTGATTGAAAGGCTGTATTTGATATTATTAAGGGAAGAAAAAAAGAAATAGAAGGACATGGGAAAGCATGGACCTTGCTATCACTGTGGTGTGACAAGTGAGTTTTTTCTTTCTTTTTTGGGTTTCAATAATTTGATTATATATTCGTCAAATCCTTTCTTATTGATTAATTTGATTTAATTGAATTAATTAATTTTCTGTGATTTATATGAACATTTACCCAGTTGATTTTGTAAGATATTGAAGACAATGAACAATACTGAGTCATTGGTTCTTGTCTTCCTGTTAGATAGGCTCTGCTGTTGCAAATGAGTGTTTGACTGTCGATTCTTGATTCTAGTAATCGATCATATGAGACACGAACTAACAATACTAGGACATGACATGAATATGCATTGAATAAATGAAACACTCTGGTTGATCATAGTTGCTTTCGTCGTTTAAATGTTTCGACTCTTTTAACTTTAAAACCGATTTTGTTGAAGTTTTTTAACATGTGTTTTGACACAATGGTACTATTGTGAGGATCTTGATCATGAATTAGTATATCATGCTTCGTTAACTACATTGTCCAAACACTTGCTAATCTTATTCTTACAAATGTGGATGAATGGATACTTGTCATTGTGTTTCCTTCTTACGAAACATGAGTGTAATAAAAAGGTACCCCACTTTGGCGTAACGGGCCGCCTGAGAAGCCAGTACTGTGCAATGCATGTGGATCACGTTGGAGGACAAAGGGTACTCTGGTAAATTACACTCCTCTACATGCTCGTGCCGAACCCGAAGACTTGGATGATTACAGGGTGAAATCATTTTCTGTCAAGAATAAGGAAGAAAAGTTTCTCAAGCGCAAGTACAACAATAACAACAACAATAATAATAATAATAACATTAGTATTACCGAATATCCAGCGGAATATAACCAGAACCAGAACCACCACGGATTCCGTAAAGTGTTTGACGAAGACACAAGCAACAGGTCGAGTTCCGGCTCTGCTATTTCCATTTCCAACTCGGAACAATATGGCAATGCTGATGCAAGTGAATTGACAGGTTTGTTTTTATATAAAATTATGTGATAGTGTTTTAAATTCCAAGGTCTCGTTTGTTTGGTTGGGGAGATTGGTCATGATTAACTAACTAATTGAACTTTGTTTGATGTATGATAAAAACAATTGGGTTTTCATTAGATTATTTAAATTTATCCTGGCCAACCAAACGAGGCCTAAGATAACAAATGATTCGTGATTTACAGGACCGTCACAACAAGGGGTAGTATGGGAAAGAATGGTGCCGTCGAGGAAGAGGACGTGTGTGAGCCGCTCGAAGCCGTCGTCAGTTGAGAAGCTGACGAGAGATCTTTTTACAATATTGCACGAGCAACAGTCGTCGTGCCTTTCTGGTTGTTCAGAAGAGGAACAACTTCTACTTCTTGAGAGTGACAAACCAATGGAATCTGTTGAGTTTGGTCATGGAAGTGTACTCATTAGGCATCCGAGCTCGATTTTATTAGCTAACGGAGAAGAAGAATCGGAAGCTAGCTCCCTTTCATTTGATAACAATAAGCAACATACTATGAATTCTAAGGTGACGGTTTTTCCTGCTCTTATCGACAAAATTAAGAAGCCTCCTAATCCGGTAACCGAACAAGAACGAATCAGAAGGTACTTTCATTTTTGTCTCAACCTATTTTGTACGTTACGGTTTTGTTTTGTGTGGACTAGTTTAAGTTTTGTTGTTCGATTTCAGAGGGAAGGATCAAGTTGAAAATTTACAGATTATGTCTCATCGTAATTCACCACTATGTTGCGTGGACTTGCAAGTAAGTTGCAAATCCAATACATGGTTTGATACCTTATCGTTTTTCACTTGTCGGTCGGGTATACAACTGCTTTTTATAATATTTTATTTGGACCGTATTTGTGAATCGTGACCATGGACGCAGATATTCAATTATGTTCCTGTTCTAGTTCTTGTTGATGCTACAAATGGTAAAATGCGTTGGTGATAAATAATTTATACGTATCTGTGTTTGTGCAGGAAATTGTTAATTTCGACAAGTTTGCAAATCATTTGACGAAAGACGAGCAGCAGCAGTTGCTCAAGTATTTACCTCCTCTCGACACTTTGGAATCTTCGGACAGGTGTGCATTATTCTTTTGTTGAATACGGATATTCAAGCATGGTTGCTTAAGTTAACTTCACTTTCACTGCAGAAAAAGGTGTCTATATATAGTACATCAATCATTCTCGAGTACTACTATAATCCCTTAAAATTGTTTTTTCTTTTTTAATACCTAAAATCATAAAGGAGAGAGAAAATGTTTTTTTTGATAATTGTAAATGCAGTGATAATTGATGTTTGAGAAGACAATGTATTGATTGTTGTATGGTTAGCAGGAATTTACTTCCGATATCCCAAATTAGAAGCATTTTGGAGAGCCCTGAGTTCAAGGAGAATTTGTTGTCCTTCCAGAAACTTCTGTCAGATGGTCTTTTCGATAACTCGTTTTCCAGCCTCAACACAGAACAAGATTGTAAACTTCTCAAGAAACTCGTCTTATCCAATTTCACCAAGTCTAAATGGATTGAGCAATATCAAATCTTTAAGGTCGGTACCACAATTTTTCTACTGCATTATTACCATTATATGGATAATATATCTATGTGGCACGGAAACTTCAACTTTTTAACGTTTCTGCGTTTCGGACACGTTTCGTGTCCGACACTCGAGGACACCTGCCAGACACCTTATGGGCCATGTTGCAATTTCTGAAGTTAAAGACATGTTTGATAAGCAAATTTTCCAATATATTTGTCGCTTCCCTAATTATTTACATTATTCACATATGAATCGCAAATTGATAGTTGATAGTAAAATATATTTTGAATATGTTTGTACAAAAATATATAAAAATAATTTATATATAAATAAAAATTTACATATATGTTTATATAGCATTTTTATAAATAAGCTCCTATATTTTTAATATTTACACGTTCTCCCCAAGCTCCCGTATCCCCGTATTTGGGACTGACATGCCGTTTCCTCATGTCGGTTTCCCCGTATCGCTATTTCCATGTCCGTGCTATATATATATATATTCTAAATCCTGTTTTCTTATCAGGATTCCAAAGGTAAAAACATCAACGAACCGAATGCACTTGCTACTGCTTCTTCGCTTAGTTTGAAAAGACCAAGAGGAGAAGGACTGCAGCAGCATCACAAATTCTTAGGTGAAGAAAACATTAATTCATCGAGAGAAATTTGTTGTTTTTTGATAAGTCGCTGACAAAAAGTTTATTTATTTATTGTTTCAGGATCAAAGGCAATAATGAGGAGGAGCTACGACGAGGAGGAGGAGGAACTAGTAGCAGATAAGAGTTCCTCTTTCTTTACATCATCTCGTATCATTAATAATAATGATGATGATTACGAGTCTTGCCATTTTGGTTACGAAGAAGACGATATGCTTTTGGATATTCCATCCAACGGTTCATTCCCACAAGCTGAAGCAGAACTACTAATCATGCCATCTTCGAGTTTCGATGGTCAAGCTAGCACTAGCACTACTTCAACATATTTCCTTAATCGTCCCTAATCCCCGTCGTATCTCAATCCCCTTTTCTCAAGGTGATTGATTGATTGGCTTCTTCATTTTTATTTTTATTTTTATTTTTATATTACCATTTTGCTAGAAATAGCACACTGGAAATGAGTTTTGAATCTTCTTTAATTCTCTCTCTATATGCTTTGAGGATGTACATTATTTAAAAAAATGGGATTATTTTATTTCCCTTTCCTTGTATTTATTATAGATTGACTAAAATGACTGTTATATATATGATATACAATCTTCATTACCGTTTCAATTCGAAGTATTTTCATCTCTGTTAGTGAATGTGTAGCTTCTATTATTCGCAAGGTTCTTTATTATATTATTACTCACACCTCTTTTGGACTAAACTTCATTTGAATTCAAGGATTTTAATTATACTATAAATGTTTTTTCATTGAAATTAGTTGCGTAATTGTATATGATATTCAATATTCAAATTAGGTTTTGAACAAATATTTTTGCTAAGTCAATTTTCGTTGCTTAATTTGAAAAACCCGAATATTTTGGTTCGTGTATGCTTTTCAAACCGAACCACAGCGCTTGAATCGAACCGAACCAGAAACGTTAAATGATACAGTTTTACATCATAATATACATATATACGGATACGAAAATGGGCTAGCCAACTTAAAATACAAAGAAGTAATAGCATAAATATGGTTACATCAATCACATTATGCGTTTTGTAATTGTATGGAATAGATAACCTTCCTGTAAAAATAATTTGTAGGCCATAGGCCAAATGATAACGATTTTGGAATTGGTTTTTCAATTTAAGAAATTTCAAGCTTTTCTTTTCTCCTAAAATATCAAACTACCAGATTACTACACTTTATGAATTTATAATAAAAATAATAAAATTTACAAAAAAAAAAAAAAAAAAGAAAGAAAGAAAGAGAAGAAGAAGATATAAACCAAACTGAAAAAGGGATATGCTTGCGAAAAAACAAAATAAATAAATAAACAAATAAATAAACCGTAGACCAATCGAAACCGGGAAAGAAACCCAAAACTGAAAGAAACTGAATCAGATTAAAACCGATAGTTTTTGTTTTTAGTTCCATAGAAATTGAATTTATTGGTTCATGCACTTTAACACTTATCCATTGCATTTAAAAAAAAATCACTTTAACACTTATCCCTTACGATAAATTATATTTTAAATATATTTTTAGGAACTATTTGAAAAAACCGCTCATTGAATTTTGACTTCACAATAAATTCATTTTTGCAATTGATATTCAATATAAAACCAATCAATCTAAAATACTAAAAATGCCCAATTCACTATATAATACAAAAAATGCAAATCTCCCCATTTTAATTACAGCCCAATCTCCTCCAAAAATCTTGCTCACGAGTCTCGCTCACACTCCACCCAAGAAATCTCAGCTACCCACCCACACACCGAGATTAACAATAGAGATCGGTCGCTGTTGAGAGGATGAAAATGCAAATAACAACAATATAGTATTAAGTGGCAGAAAGCCCCAATTTTTGTTTTGTTGCCACCGTTCACTGTAGTTGTTTTTATGACAAGATGATTCGAAAATCATCCTCGAAAATTAAGTAATTAGTCCCCATGCACTTTGTTTTGATTTAAACCAATTAGTCAAAAACTCTAAGTAGATTAAAAACCACTCTGTATCAATATCATAAAAAGACACAGTTTGTTGATTTAATAATTAAACACAGTTTGTTTGCAATGTGGTTTTGCATGTGTTGTTAGGAGTGTGTGGTTTTTAATACTCAATGTATTGTTTTAGTATTGTTTAGCATACGTAATTTTAGTACTGTTTAATGGATACCAACGTCATAAAGGTCGGAAATTGATAACCACTCAACATCAAACGTGTATAATTATTATCAAATATCC